GTAACGAGCCTGATTTTATAGAACGTTTTTTTACAACTGTAAGAAGGTCCAGCGACTATGGAGGGAAATTCAAAAAGATTTACGGGTTCACTTAGGTACCGGTACATCAATTGTAATTGAGAAAATTGTTTTACTTGAAGCAGTGAAGGGAATCCACATAGATCACCGGGAATGGGGGTTAACAAATGCAGCCATTGCAATCGGAAAATTAACTGTGTCTAAATATAATAAGTAGGGGGAAATAAGAAATATCATAGAAGTTTATGAGAGTGGAAGTAGTCTCAGGCTTGTGGGCTAAGAGCTAAAAGTAAGGCTTCCAGTCTCCATCTCACGTCACTTTTGTTTCGTCCCCGCATAAGAGAGAGCTTAAGTGGAAGACTGTTATACATAGCTATGTGTGTGTATGTGAGTTTGTGTGTGTTTGCGAGTGTGTGGGTATGTGTGTGTGTGTGTGTGTGTGTGTTTACATAATTTGATTATATCTAATTTTACTTTTTTAACATCTCTTTGCCTTCATTATACTCTTAGTCAGACTTAACAGTGCCATTCGCGGTCGCGTGTCATTACACGAGGATGGAATATGGAAGTAATTTTATATAACATTTCCTGCACTTAATACTAATTGGTCTGTCTTTCCATTTAATTAATTGTGGCCTATAAAGGTACTATCTCTTTTGAGACGGGGACTTTTAATGCCCGTGGTGTCTGAGTTGTTGCTGGACGCAATTTCGCTTCCGGTCCTCCAGTACTGTGTGTCACTTTTTTGTGTTTATATTTATATATATATATATATATATATATATATATAGTAACATATATTCATATACTATCGGGGTGAATTTGCTGATATCACTTTAAAGAGGGGGGGGGGGGGGTGCACCCCCAAAGTCCCGATTTGGCTCAAAATTATGGAATTTAAGTTGTAGGCATTTTCAGCCTCCTCAGCCTCTCCTACAACTATTTCATCGCTTAAGAACCCCGAAAAAAACAATTTCTTCCCTTACCGGGCAAGTTTTCAACACCACTTCCTCATAAAATCAATATTTTATTGTTCTTTATTGGCCGTTTTCTCAAAACGCGACTTTTCTCCATACTTTTTTGAATAACTCCAAAATTAAACACACCCAACACTAAGACTAAGACTACTATGCACATTATTTCCAACATCAGAGCATCACCATCATCGTCCCCATAAATAATCATCATCATGATCACCATCACCATCATCACAGACTAAACTATTCCCCTTTTTCTTGTTCCGTTTTTCTAGAAAACATAACAATTTGCACCATGTCAAAACATGTTAACGTAACCTACAAATATGGTCACCAAAAAAAAAGGAAAAAGGGTCTTTAAAAAACCGTACAGTCGACTACAGATGAGCTGATGTCATCGAGGGAGTGAAAAGTAGATAAACTTATCCGAAGTTCAATTTAACCGTTGGGAACTGCAAAGAAGAAGAGGTGCTGGGATCTGAGAAAAAGATTAACTTGACCGAAGATCAACTCAAGCGAGATCAACATAAGTGGAGTCGACTGCACATGTCAATCGATGGATGGCACCATCTGCAATAGTCCCCTGGAAGGTGTACCCTTTGAATTGAGGGAATCGATTTTACTACAACTTTTGTAACCCAAAATCCAAAACATTTACTGACTGCATGTTAATGGAGCCGATGGCGGAAATCCCGAAAGTGTCATTTTTCACATTAACTTTTCTTTTCTTTTTTTCCCGATTAGAATGGGCATAGTTCTATCACAATCCGAGCGGTACCGCCTCGTAGTTTACCTCACTCACACTGCACTGAAGGAGTATTAAGCCTAACAGCTCACTATCCTCAAGGTTCATTTATATCTAGAAGGAACCGAATTCGAAATTGCCCATGTCACTATAACATGTGTATGACGAGTATTCTAAGAATTAAGTGGCAGGATAGAATAAGAAATGAAGAGCTGTGGGAAAAGACAGGACAAAAGGATATAGACGAAGAAATGGGACTAAGAAAGTGGCGATGGATGGGACACGCCTTAAAAAAGCCCAGCGGAAACATCACAAGACAGTACCTGCAGTGGAACCCACAAGGAACACAAGGCAGGGGTAGGATTCGGGAAACAAAAAGGATATGCGTGGAAAGGGACATGAAAGAGATGAAGCTCACTTGGAACGAGCTTGGAAGGATGGCCCAGGACAGAGATAAAAGGAAGGAGATTGTAGATGGTCTATACCCTGCCAGTGGTGAAAGGCATTGATGATGATGATGACTATAACATGCTGCGAATACCAAGTAGAAGTTTCCTGCCGGTCAGCCTGATAACAGAAAGTGGGGAACCCTAAACAATCAATTCCCTCGAGTATTGAGCAGACTTTCAGTTCGAACATGAGCAGATCAAATAGAATACATGTATCAAAACATTTGATCTTCGGTGTTCAGCAGAACAGAAACAGAAACTTATCGAGATAAGACGACAGCCCTGCATGGCTGGGGAAAAACAAGATGATGGAAGGCAATACAGAGTTGGTACCTAAAGTGATATATCTATGATACTCAAGACTCAAATCCCTTCCTGTTGAAAGTTTATTACAGTCTCTTAGCCGACTTTTTATTTCAAACTCATAACAGCTCATAACCCAATTTTTTATTTATTTATTTTTTAATGGTAGAGAGTTTTACGGCGCTCGCAACTGCATAAGGTCATATGAGCGCCAAGGGGTGGGTGTCAACAGAGAAGTCTTTACAGGGAATCAGATTTAGACTGCTCACCTCTCTAGCTTCAACAGCACAAGGTCTGCTTTGACAATCAAGGCACCCCGGAAATAGCAGGTCACAAGAGAGAGACAAACATACAAAAGAAGTAGAGGAAAATGACAATAGTAAGGATCAGGAAAGAAAAAGCAGCAGTTCCCGGTTGTAGATCAGGCACAGTTAAGAGCGTGACATGAGTCAGCCCATTTACAATTCTACTGTGCTTAAACGAGAAATGTCGCCCCTTTGGGAATGGCCTAAAGACACTACAATCAGTGGCACTGCCCCGGGGGGTAAATTTTTTATAAACATCTTGATGAACACTATAAAAAGAACAAACAACTGCTGGTAGGCAGACTAGACAGAAGGACCTCGGGAACAGATAAAACGAAGGCGGCAGAAAAACTAAACAGAGAGAGAGAGAGAGAGAGAGAGAGAGAGAGAGGGAGAGAGGGAAAGAGGGAGGGAGAGAGAGAGAGAGAGAGAGAGAGAGACAGCGTTTGCCATATAATATAATACACCCTTGACAATTTTGAACTGCATAATACATGTATTGTTTTACGGCACTCGCAACACAATAAGGTCACATATAAGTGCTGAAGATTAGAGGCATAGATGTACACTATAGTACTAGATACAGCACGCCCCTCTCTCGCTTTGCTGCGCGATGGCCACATTTGACAGCGGCGTCCGCCATGTTTTTTGTGGCAAGTTGTGTGAAGGAGTTCATGCTAAAGCAATGGGCTAGGCATGTTTTCTCTCTCTCTCTCTCTCATACACGATAGGCGAGGCTTGGTTCTTGTTGATTTTTTTTTTTACATGGGCGCCGTGGCGTACTATATCTAAATTACTAAATTGCAATAATACGGCGTTCTTTCTACAACTAGATCTACAAATAAATGTATTATTAAACAGATAGAGATAGAGATATGGGCTTTAAAAAAAAGAAGAAAAAAACAACAACCTTTATTTCTTCATCAGCACTTTATCAACGAGGTAGTTTATTTCTTATTGACCGAAGCAAAGCCTATAGGGTCTATAGAACTTTTAAAAAGAAGTATAAAAAGGTGTGGGTGTCATGGGAACCTCCCATAACCACCCCACCCTCTCTCTCCTCCCGAATCCCAATACCAACACCACCCCCCCCCAGCCCCCCTCAGCTCTTGATAAAGCAAATTCAGTCAAACAAATGATGAATACATGTACTGGTATTTTTAAAATCGAGTTAAACTTTCCCTTGTGACATTTGAACAGGAAACTGTATTTTTCATTCATATGTTCACTTTTTAAAAAAGTATACTAAATTATAAGCAGTGTTTTCTTATGTCGGTATTAAACTTTGGTTTATATTGATTTTAAGAACTAAAGTAGACCATATATACAGCACTTAAACTAAAGCTCCTTATATTGCTGTTTTAAGTAAGTCTAATTTTGGACATTAGTAAAACAACTGTGACAACTCTGGACTCACTAATGATTTAAAAAAAGTGAACTTAAATGTTGTTTTGTAGCCTAGTCAATTGTTTTTCTTTTCAATGTAGTGATAACTGAAACAAAAACCTTTACTAAGGTGTTTTTGGACAACATTCAATAAAGCAAAACAATAAAAAGTACACTGTTTCAGTTTGATAAAGAAATTTCCTGCCCATTGTGAAAAAGATCTAGCTGCTAGTCAACCTTAACTTCACATGGCCCAGAACCTTACTGATGGCTCTTTATGTTTTAAAAAAGAAACCCGGAGTGACTATTTGTGTCTATAAGACATATTATGCAGTAAAAATAGATGATGTAATAAAAGAAAACAGACATCACTGAACTGCCTGACAGAACCAGTAAGACGTTGATCCAGAAAGGGACAAGAGGTTTCACATGCTTGCACCTTTAAAAGAATCGCTTTGAATCAAAACATAACGTTAAAATCAAATAAAACACGTAAGACTAAGAGCAGAGACACGCCCACTCACATGTAAACAAACTTTTTAGCCACATTAAAAATGTCTGCCAACAAACTCAAATGTGTCCGTGTCACGTAACCTCGTACGGACTCTAGTCTAAAAGGGGGTAACTCTATGATTAGAGGTGTTACAAGAGAGAAACAAACACAAAAAGAAGAAGGGGAGATAAAGACGATAGATGTTTGATAGGAAAGAAGAAGAAAACCACACCAGAGCACTCGCCACCCACCCACTGTCAAACATAGATCTAGATACATTAGAACTACATGGAAAAGAAAACAGAAAATGGACACAGAGAGAAGTTATGGCATGGAACTCAACAAGTATAAATTTATTATCTGTACATGATACCACAAACACATTTTCAAGCATAATGACAGGAATATGCTTAAAACCAATTAAATCCTTTACCATTAAGATACAAGTACAAGCATCAACATTCTTTTGTCAGCACTAACAATCAACAGTGGGGTTCTCTCTCTCTCTCTCTCATACTCATACACACACATCTGTACCTTCCTTCACAACATTTCAGGAGCTAGCCCTGAACCAAGTAACAACTAGAAAACTCAATTTCTACTTCGTAAAACAACTATCCAAACACGAGTCACTAGACACAGAGTCAATTCCTCGTCACAGTTTAAAAAAACAAACTCAAACCTACGCAACACAACTGTGCTAGGACAGGAAACAATAATAAAACCTTCAGGTTTGCTGGAAGTAAAGAATAGTAGTAATAGTACATACATAGAATATAAAACTGATTTTATCTAGTCATAAATCCCAAACAGACCCTTTCCACTCCCAGCCCCAAACTATCAACATGATGAATTGGGCATGACACTGAAGAGGTATAATCCAGATCACAGACATGAACACGTCCCATTTCTCATTATTTGTGATTCTTCTGCGCTCACTAATTTTCAAACTTTTCACAGCTGAGTATGTGTCTCAACAAACAGTTTCAACAGAAAACAAAATAGACCTTGTTATCTTGCGTTAGACACAATAAAATTAAATTCAAGTTCAGGGGTAAAAAAAAAAAAGCTGTAAAACTGCTCTACAAACAGAAATTGTTGTAGAACCTTGCATTTATATTTCTTATGCTTGTTCATTTGCTTAAAGTAGAAGCACCTTTAGAAAAGGTTCTCAATATGCAAAAAAAGACCTACACAAGTCATTTGCAAAGAACACTATTCAACTCTAGGCTCATTTTGACCAGTTGCACGACAAAACATTAAATGCAAACCCGACAATGCACTTTGAAACTGAACACATAACATCAGCAGAGAAAGCATCCTAGACCCAGCCTTTGAAGAGTTACTATGACAGCTATGCTGTACTTTATATTGATAATCAAGTACAAATACAGCTATTGGTCCCTATTACTATTAGAAGACACACACACAAAAAAACCCAACAAAATATTTTTTCCTCAAACTAACAAAGCACTACCTTTTCTTAGACAGTTTTAACTATTTTACAAAGTTCTTGCTGAGTACAAACCTATCTTTTACAGAGAAATATCTTGAACAGTACATGAAACTAAACTTTGGCAGTAAAATACAGACATGTTTTGTTTTTAAGCATTATCAATACATCTCCTGTGTGTGCTGTATCTGTATGCAGACACTTTTTAAATTACAAATATAGATTTAGTCCTGCAATGTACAAATTTATACAGTGCACTTCCTGCCGACACATAAAGGCAAGATGTTTGTGTACAGCATGCCCGTGACTGAGCAACGATAGGAATGAAGACATCTACAGAGAGACCATTGCGAGCTGAACCGTCATCTGCCTGTGAAGCACTGAGTCCCATATCACCATTGTGATAACCAGACTTTGTATCTCTAATATCATATTACAAAGCAGACAGAGGTTCAGACATGACAATGATGATATATCATTTATAAGGCTCTCAGAGACAGAACCTAAGACATAAACAGCAGGCACACAGAGAGGCCTTCAAGTGAAATTGACATCCACACTCTTGGCGAACTCCTTCTCGAGTTGATTCTGAAGAGCATAAAGAATAAATGGGGAAAAATCCCTGTAATTCATAATATAAAGCTATAGAAATTTAGTTTTACCAAAAGTCAAACAAAAACTGGTTGAATCAGGTAATTATCTGAAAAATATAAATATGGAAATAAACAAGTCTTTTCCGATGTAGTGAAAATAACATCGATAGGAAATAAAATCAAAAACATGTGACAGCTTTAGAAGGAGCTAGACTGACTACAAAATATATTTATTCCATATATATCTGTCCAGGGCAAGTCTCAAGGTACTATGGTCCTGTCGCACACTTGTTCTTTGAACAAAAAAGAAAATCATAATGAGACTATGATGAAAATAGACATGCAAACCAATGTCCATAAATGCATAATCAAGGAAAGAATACATATGAATTAAATCACAAGATATCTCAATTAATTTATCAAGACCTTACCAGTTCTCGTTTCTTCTGCTCTATCAAGATCTTTGTTTCGGATAAGTCCTGAAATAAAATAATAGCAAAGTAGTTAAAAAGCAGCTAAAACTAATATCATTAAAGTTTACCATTTGAAACCTTCAAGTTTAACTCTCCCTTACTCTTGCTCTCCTTAGAACGATGGTCATAAAACATTATCTTCTTCCATAAAAAAAAAAGGGGCAAATGATGTGTAAGCAGACCAATTTATTGCCCTGGCCTATTGGTGCAACATTTTTCTGCAATCCAAATCTCTTTTTGACACATACTAAGATCGATGCATTCTTCAAGGACGGCCAATAATATTTTCTGTCATTGTGAAAATCTCTCAATATATATATATATATATAGGCCTATATATACGGTGGGTGTCGCATTCAACGAGGTTGCCGGGACTAGCTTGATGTCCTCATTGGATCTGACCTCTCATTGAACGTGACTAAGGCCAAAGAAAAGAAACACATTGTTATATTACATGATGTGCCAATACCAGTTATTAAAACAGTTGTTTCCCCTGATGACGAAAATCTCAAACAGCATCGGTGTGCGCGTGTTTGAGCTGTGTTCTGACCGTCATTTCGGCATTTAAAAAAAATAAAAATAATCCGAAACACTTCTCATGTGGAAACATACCCTCTCACACGAAGGCCAAGGTCTACATAAAGTAAAGAAGTAAAGACGAGAGCTTGGATTTTCTGATCAGGGGAAAAAAAGAAAATTGAAAAAAAAACCCCCAGACGGTCTCGATCTAGATCTACACTTCCTGAGTTCACCCATTTTCACACAGCCTGCATTGCGTTCCCACGCACCCCCTCCCATCCTTACCGAATGGCTAACCCGCGCCCATCCTCTTGGCTTTGGGATCCATAATATTAAGAGGCACACTAGATCTAACAATACAATGCGTTAGGAATCGAGGATAGGCCTTGTGCTTCGGGTGAGATGGAGAGAAAGGAGAAAAATTCTTCGCTTTTGGGGCCGCTAATAGCTTTTTTTCGGTTTTTATTATTAGCGACCTCGTTGAAAGCGACTTTGGGCTGTTTGCAACCTCGTTGGAGCTGACGTACATTTACAAAGAGATATAGAGGTAAAAATCGGGGATTAAGCATTGCCTCGTTGGAGCCGACTTCTCGTTGAATGTGACCACCTTGAAAGCAGCACCCACTGTATAAAAACTGTATTTCAACAATATTTCACAGTTTAGGGAGAGTGACAGACCATGAAGTAAATCCTGATGTAGATCCCACGGTCAGGCACACTTGGCTAGAACTTTTTTGATAACTAAAATGTTTAGGAAAAAAGACAGCGCTCAAGCAAATCCCAATATGGTTTAAATTCATGCACATCTCGTGATTTTTTCCTCACGAAAGCAAGCTGGGAAGAAATACAAAATTGATCTCAAGAGTAATCCTCATCCGTTACATCAGTGTCTTTTCAGTACTTACAGGGGGAAGACATAAGTATGATTGTAGCTCTTCTTTCAGGGGTGCAAGATCAGCTTTCATCTTTTGTAGTCTCTGAGGGTGGACAATCAACAAAGAAATAAGAAGTCAAATAAGAATAAATACAATAATGACTGACATTTAGCCTCTGAAGTAAAAACTACTTTCCACATCTCCAGCATGGAAAGGCTAACTTTTGTTGTTGTTGTTACCGATCCAGAAAGGCTAACTTTTAAGATGGCACAGGCTGAATGGAGAAGTTTAGAGTAATATGTAGTGAACACAAATGCTAGTACTAAACTTCAGAACTGAGGCAAAAAGGTAGAGACAGCAATCAAATATTAAAATAGAGAATTTTGTAAAAGTATGGAACAAAAGTCTTGCCAAACAAAGGGCCAGCACACTATCAATATTTTATTTATTGACTTTGATAACATTTGGACAGCCTGAAAACAAAAGAAGGGTCAGTTCCAAAATGATCAAGTCAGGTGAGCATTCTTCTTTGCAAACAGGAACCAATAAATCTATAAACATATAAAGCAAAAAGAAAAGAATACCTCAGATTCTTCGACTAGCTTGTCATGCGTCACTGAAGGGTCTATTTTGTCTTGATTTGTCTGTGGAATGAAAGGGACCATGTAGAAAAACCCAGTAACTCCAAATGTCTAACATTATCCTTGACTGAAACAAACAGAAGGGTTAGTTAAAAAGTTCAAACTGATACAGTCAACATTTTCACCAATAACCATGACACACAAAGTACCACTGCAAGCAACAAAAAGTACGGAGTCTCCACCTAAATGCATGCCATACATGAGCACGCTCTGCTCAAACGCATGCTTTCGTCATATGATGGATTTTGTTCAGTATGATTTAGATGTCAAATGTATGGTCACTCCCTCTACTCTAAACGCACGCTTTGATCTGTGAAACACGCCAACAGGTAAAGCTGGACAAGGGAAAATTTTTGCTACAACCTTTGACAAGCCTAGACAACAAGATATTAAGGTGAGACTGCCCCCAACGCAGAACAATGAGGGATGAAAAGTGTTTTCACACCCAGCTTTCCACAAACAAATAGGTCTAGGGCTGGTCGGGAGATATGTTGGGGGTGGGGGTGTTAACTGAAACGTTTTGTGTTCGATCACTCGAAATGCATTTTTGAGAGATTGTTTCTGATTGGTGTTTGGGCGACTACATGAAATGTTTAGTTAGACTTGGGCCTATGATTAGCACCACAAGTGAATGCAGTAGAACACTAAATAGGCCTCTATAAGATTAAAGATTGGTCAAGTAATCAGCTGCGCTCGAAGAACTAATAACCAAGGCTGCTTTTTCCATGAATCATAAGTAAAAAGTCTCTTAGAAAATCTGATTCTGATGAGATACCATCCATGAATTTACTGTTGGGGGTGGTCACTTGAAAGCCACGAGGCTGAGCGGTCGTCCCTATGGCTATGACTATCACCAACACTTTCCTGTTATCCGTTCCTGATACTTCATGATGCATATCATTAAATTGAATCAATCTTTCTGCTCCACACCAACCCATTCAACGCCTTTATATCCATAATCGCAGTCGAGGAATCCTTCACTAAACAGACACGTGTTGTCACATTATAGGCCAGTGACTCCTACTCCCCAAGAGAGGTCACTAGAATATCAAGGAAATGAGATGACTGCGTCCTTTCCTCCGTTTGCACAGGTTCATGTAGACGCACCCTCCATTTAAACACACGCTAAGGAACCCTCCGTAGCACCATGCATTTAAGCGGAGTCTACTGTAATATTAACAAATTCATTCCAAAACCTTAGGAACTGTAAGAGAAATAATATTTTTTATTGTGTTAAGAGAGTTCAAAACAGAAACAATGACAAGAAACAATCAATTTTGACCATATATATATGGAGGACACTTGTCGATACTTTAATCTTTCTAGAAAGGAGTAGAAAAACATATTAAAGCAAACATTGTCACTGTCAAAAGAAAAATAAGTGCCTCCAATGTTCTTTACCTGTACTGAAAGCAGTGTCAAATGGAGGCACTCATTTTTATAGTGACAGCAACAGATTGTAATACACAGACACAGAGGACAGCAAAATTGTACTTGCTTGAAGTTTTGCCAAGTCGATTGCATACGCTTTAGTTTTCTTCTTGAAAAACAACGTGTCATTTCTCCTTTTTTCAATTAGTGGAACTTCCATAGCAGTCCTCTGCCTTACAAGTTCAAAAGCTCTGGAAGAAAAAAGACAAGGTTTAAGTAAGAAAAAAACTTGAAAACCCATTAACACCAACACAAATCTTCAACGAAAAAGAAGTCAATGTTGGTCAAGCAACTGAGTTAAACAATTATATACTTTGCAAAAGATGACATGAAATTAAAACATAATCATTGTATTTCATCCAAAAAGTTTAGTCACTTTGAACATCTCACCTCATGATAAATTCTAATGATATGACCAGCTACAGCTAAAGCGTAGGCTTTTCTGTCTCATGCAAAAATACAGATATATAGCAGGTCCAGAATAGATGAGATTTGTGAGTTTGGCAAATTTGCAATAAATGACATGGAATAGAAAGACATATGGAATGCTAGAAAGTCTTCCCCTTACACTGACAGTAAGTACTGGAGCATTATCAAGTCTGATACTAAAAAGGCATGGTTTCAATCCCAATTTCCATTTTGTCATCTTGTAGTGAACTGGGATATAGGACTAGTAACAGTGGCAGCTTTACAAAAATTTCAAACTTATTTGCTTTTGCAGGAGTGCAAATGGTGGTAGATTCTACAAAGAAAGCCTTTGCTACACACTAGAGATGGGGCGAGCGGACGGACGGGTTCATTACTCGCGGACTCAGAGCGAATGGGTAACGGACGGCCATGAGAGCGAACTGCGAACCTCAAGACAGTTAGTTTTATGGGTCCGCTCCACAATTTGACTCTCTCAGCGAGCGGACTGCGGACCTCAAGCCAGTTCGTTTTTTGGGTCTATTCCACAATTTTATTCACTGGGCGGGAAGGCGAACGGACGAACTCTAGCAGACGAGATACTCGACGCGAGGTTAGGCCCACGGTCTATTGTTTGTTAATTAGGCCTAATGTTTCAAACCACTGGCGGTGCCACAGGGAGTGAGAGAGGCTGGTGACGTAGTACTATGTGTGTAACCTTTCACGTCGTGCGTGGGGCACACTGTGTACGTTCCAATTATCGCAAAGGCCGGGGGGAGTGGGGGGTGGAGAGAAATTACCGCCATGAACGCCTAGCTAAAATGTGAGGCAGGAGGGAGGGTGATTTTTTAAATTATTTTTTTTGGGGGGGGGGGGGGAGGCGGGTTGTAAGTTGTATGCAATGGAAGGAGTCAGGAGTCGCTCTCGTCCGTCCGTCCCCCCGCTCGAATGCATGGAGTCTCTCCCTCCGCCCGTCCGCTAGCTAAACGAACTGTTGTCTCTGTCCGATGTGTAGCGAGTAGCGAACTACTCTTCACAAATGGACGGTTCGTTACCCATCCGCTCGTTTGCGGGTAGTGCCAGCGGGTAGTTCGTTGCTCGCGGACACTAATTTTGCGAGCCCGACCCAACACTACTACACACCTGAGAAAACACGATTTAAAAAAATGCGTCTCAAATAAAATGTATTTTTGACAGGGTTACTGCAGCACATATAGATTTAGTAGAAGTTAACCCCCCAAAATCCATATTTCATGATATAATGATAGAAATTTTGCGAACAAAATAAAAGTTTAAGATCCTAGAAAACACAAGTAGTAAACACTACATAACACTAATGTTTACATTGCATTGTAACATACAGTCAAGTCTAGCACTCAAATTGCCAACATGCGCCTAGAAAACAGATTTTCAGGTCCTGAATACACTATATTCTTCGTAACTAAAACACTTACATGATAGCAAGATTCAAAATAAAAAGATTTTTTACGCCCTGCCCATTTCGCTACAAGCATGCTAGACTGTATTTTCTTCCTCTTGTGACAACTTACTTGCACAGAGAGTTGACTTTGACCATGGCAGTGTGTGATTTCTCAGTAAGTTGCTTAAGACGCTTTGCCTCCTCCCTCCGCTGTTCTTCCACACGGTCCAGTTCAGCATCCAGTTCTTGTAATGCCAAGAAATAGCTGCCACAAAAGAAATGGGAAGGGCACTTTGTACAAAAAATATCTCTTGAAAAAGGCATGTCATGTGAATGAGTGATTTTTTGTCCCAGCACCAGGCATGTATGAAGCAATCAGAAAAACCCCCTATTAAAATATTATAACAACAAAACCTACCAGCCAGATACTGAAATCATGGTATTATCACAAAATACAATTTGAAAATTACGTCCCACTTATAATTACAAGAAACTCTGGCAGTCCCAAAGCCACGGAGTTGCAGCCTTTATTCTCATCACACAGCTTCCTCACCTGGTTTCTGAGGCATCTTTTACATGAAGAGATCCACCGAGCTTTGCAAGAGTCAAAAGACTGCTGGAGCCAGACTGTGAAAATTGTTCTTGTCCAAGGCTTAGACGACCCAGAACAGCAGCTAAACGCTGAGCTTAAAGACAAAGACAACCAGAAGACAATTACAAAACTGGTGCAACAATAGGAAACATCAAGTTACATGTTACACGAAATATCTAACCTGTCACAGATCCTTACTTGTGCTGGAGGCCCCCTCCCCGGCTCCTCCCTTTGTATCAACCTTGAGCATGTCCCAGTTTTACTTAAATGTTATTTTGGCCAGTACTCTTCTCATGATAAAGTTAGACCAAATTCAATATATGGTTTACAACATTGACAAATGTTATAAAGAAAGCAGAGTTTTCTATGGAAATGTCCTTCTAACTGATTCACATAAATTTTCTGAAAACTGAGAGTTCAGTAACAAATTTTAACTTTACTATGCTTTCACTTTCATTCACCTTATTTTTCAATCAATCTGCATCAGACTTTTTGCTAATTGGAAACAACATAGTACATAGTTTTGAAAAATAGAGGGTCCAACAGGTTGAATTTCTTCTTAAAAAATCAGATCAACATGAGGATCAAGTTTTACTACCATACATTCTCACCATCCTTTTGGCTATTATACATTATCCACAGTCTAAAATACAAAATAAGGGGATCAATGTTGTGAAACTTACTAAATACAACAAAACTGAACAATACCTTCAGCATTGTATTCTTCACATTTTTGTTGTAAGTCATCAATAAGTAACTGTACATTTTTGTCATTTTTTTTACATAGAGTAGAGAGTTGGTACAGGTGGGAGATTGTGTCAGCATTCAGCTCAAACTCAGGTACAACTTCATCACCATACAATTGTTCCAGCCACAAACTGACCTGAAAGAGGGGAGAGAAATTATTTTAAAAATTCAAAGGCACTCGTTTTCTTGTACTAGAACTGCAAATGTAAATCCTCCAGTTTATTTATCTATCTTTTTTAAAGTCTGAAGTTGTTATAATCTTGACTGACAAAGGAAACAGAAAATGAAAATTTAGTTTTAGTAAGAGTTTTATGGCACTTGCAACACATGGTCATTACATATAATAATTGCTGAGGACTAGAGGTGTTACAAGAGAGTACACACAAACACAAAAAAGGAGAGATCAGGATGATAGATGCATGACAGGAGAGGAACAAAACACACCAGAGACCCACCAACCACCCGTGGAAACAGAAAGATAGCAAACATTTGTAGAGGAAACAAAGCAAAACAGGATTTCAAGACAGTAGCAACTTGTCACTTGTAGAACCTTTGACCTACAATAAGTACCAGTTGGGTACAAGGGTACAATAAAAACAAAGTCTTTAATTCTAATAAACTCCCCAGTCCTGCCTCTGAAAGCAGTACACATTTGATTGTGGAGATAGAAAAATGAAAAAGGACTCTTAGTCTTAGTCTGGGGACGTTCAGAGTTGTTGAGTTATTTATATGTTCTTTTTTCAAGGGTCCTGAGAGCAGATCTGACTCGAGAGGATTAGAGTCTAACTAACAGTCTGGCCAAGTCTGGCCTTGTGACAATTTTTTGCCGCTGTTGTGTGATGACCTTGCAACACCTGCAAGACAAGGTTCTCCGACAAGTGTCTGCTTTGCAGATAGTTGAGATAGAGACACAATTTATACTTTGGCCACTTCTATTCTCACCCCGGGTGAGAATAGCGTAGGCGAGTCTTTTGGCTATTCTCACCCGGTGGGCATTCACCATTATAGCCTAGGCCAACCAGTGAAGCATTCACCCTGAACCACAGAATTCTACATTGTGATAACAGAATTATAGAATTCTGTGCTGTGAACAAACGTTCTAGATCTATTACTACTGTTAGTGTTCACCTAAAATTTAAGCGTGCAATTTAGTCTGTGGGCAGTGGAGAGAGAGAAAGAGAGAGAGAGAGGAGTAGCGCGAGAACTTCCCGGCAAAACAAAATGGCCACCCGCGTAGTTCGGCTCGATTCGGAAAGTTAAATAGCCGTAGCATCTTTGTAGACAACCAAATTAATTTAGTTTTCTTGTTTAAAATCCTTTTTTAACTTTGTTTTAGTCAAGCTGATCGTCCACACCAATAGACAGTATTCTGAAAGAGACAGAGAGAGAGAGAGAGAGAGGGGAAGAGTAGATCTTGCAAGAACTTCCGGGCAGAACAAAATGGCGACCCGCGTAGTTCGGCTCGATTCGAAAAGTAAAATAGCCATAGCATCTTTGAAGACGATCAAATTAGCTTACTTTTGTGCTATAACCTAATTTTTTATTCGAAGTGACTATTTCTCCGAACGTTCGGAGAAATAGTGCCGATCTTTATTTCTCCAAACGGTTTCCGGCTTATGGTCTCGTGTTTTTTTGCCTATTTATTATTGCGAGAGATCGGCGCCAACTTTCATTCTGCCTCTGGTCTGGGATTGGGAAGGAACACCACATGGCAAGCCCGCCCACAGACAACCTTTAGTAACACCCACCACACACCCACCACCATCATGCACATGTACACACACAAACTTATACACACACTAACTAAACATGATCAGTGGGCAACTTTTGAACGTATGACGAGCTGAGCTGAGAATGGAGAGACAGTATGAGTGAAAGAGCAGGTGAAAGGAAGAATGTACGAGTGTATCCACAGGCGACAGCACAAGACGACAACACCGACCCTCCTGGCCTGGTCCACAGCTCACGAACGAAAGGAATGCAGCTAAGGCAGTGTTTTGCCTATATAGATATTATTGTCCATGGTTCGCAGGGAGCAAGGGAATGAGTGAGATTTTCTTTGTGTGTGCCTGGAGGGAGGGGTTGGGATGTAAAAGTCATGCGGACGGGGATGAGCCGCGGGAGAGAACACGGGAATTGAATGAATGAGTGAAACTGGAAGAGAGGAACGACTCATGAGCCCTGGAGTGAATGGATCCTGTGTTTCTATTTTTGTATACTTTGAACTGTTACTGAATAAAGCCCGAAAAAGAAACACACGCACGCTCCTCACTCTCCACTTACACACTTTACTACCACACACAGACACACTCACACACGCATGCATACACACACACACACACAGGAGCAAATTTTTAGGTCTATTTTTTCTATTTCAATTTTCAAGAGCTAGTCTGGCTAGTCTAGACATTTTTAGATGAGTGTAAAAACAAAATTAGAACAGCCCATTTCAACAACAAAAATTTACAAATATTATTTGAAATAAGGGCGTGAGTCCACCTGTCCGAAGAAGATTGGCTGTTTTAACACTAAATGTGCGTAATTCTAAAACAAAGTACAAGATATTACAAGTAAATTATGGAATCGCACACATTTAAGGGGCCTGCCAGTGTCAGTACATGTGATTGGTTTTGGTGGAACGTACGCTCTAACATAACACATTTAAATCTATATATTTATACATGTATATATTTAGAATCTAATGAAGGAAGGAACATCAAATTAAATGACGTTACACCATATACACCCCCCCCCCTCTTTTTTTCCCCATCAAAAAAAAAATTGATAGAAAAACAACACATCAGAACAATAACAAGAAAGAAAAAAATACACACTAACAAAATAAAACTCCACAAATAAAAGTAACTGTAACGTATTCAACAAATCAACGTGGTGACAACAAGTGAGAAAGAGACGAAGTGAAGCTAGGTGAACTTTCTTTCAAAAGTAAAGAGGTTCGTTTCTTTCTTTTTTTCTTCTTTGACTTTTATTCTCCGATCTGGGGACCAAAAAATCGAGCAACGATTGATTGGTCGCGGCCGCGACAAACGCAGACATCTATGCTAGTTCTATGTGTCATTATCAATTTAATAACCCTCCGTAGATCCAGACCAGACAGCATACGAGTGAACACAACACATTAAGTTTAAGAGCAGCACCCTTCAGAGGCAACATGTCATATCTGTAGCGAAAAACTGTTTGGAACTGTAGCGTTTCTTTATAAATATTTACTGCGGACATTTTTCGGACCGATTGAACCATATATTATTGTATGCGAACAATCTTTGGCAGGCCTATACTATAATTATAGATAATAACCGAAATTTGCGGAAAGGATGTGATTTCACAGTGTTCGGAGAAATAGTGCCCAGCTTTATTTTCCCGAATGTTCGGAGAAATAGTGCCCAGCTTTATTTTCCCGAACGTTCGGAGAAATAGTGCTTATCAATTTGATCATCCACACCGATAGACAGTATTCCAAAATAAAGGAAAAACAGGACTTGTTTCACACCGGGTGAGAATAGCCTATGCTGGTAAGTCTCATCCGGGGTGAGAGGTAGATCGTATTTCTATTCTCACCCCGGGTGAGAAGAGCCACTTCCTTTTATACAGTGGAAACCATATATAACAGGCCCGGTAATAACAGGGATCCGGTAATAACAGGGATTTTTTAAATCCCCGATTTTTCCTACTCTTTGTCTCTATTAAAAGTTATCGGCAATAACAGGGCCCCATCGGAGCCCAACCGGTTATAGCAGGGACAAAGTTCGTTAACAATGATTAAAAAGTAAGAGAGAGAGGGGGGCGAGAGAGAGAGAGAGAGATAGAGAGAGAGAGAGAGAGAGAGAGAGAGAGAGAGAGAGAGAGAGAGAGAGAGAGAGAGAGAGAGAAAGTAACGCAGTGATGGAGCAAGCCCATGCAAGCCATGCCACTGCAAGCACACGCAGCGCGTGAAACGAGAGAGGGCTGCGGTGTGCTGTAGACCTCGATCTAGCCCGAAACCTAGCAACACGCACGCGTAATGAGTCTACTGTCACCAACGATGTCAAGCGCGGCGCAAGAGAAAATGCCTTTCAGTTGACCAAAAAAACCCACGAAATAATTCAGGCTGTTGACAAAAAGCAAGCTCCACCGGCAGAGATTTGTTGTCAGTTCGACATTTCACAAGGGTCGATTCACACCATTATCAAGGATAGTGAGAAGATGGTGGCAGCATACTCGAAAGGAAAGTTTGCTCTGGATCGAAAGAAGATGAGACTACCCGATGTAGATGCTGTGGACCAAGCTCTTCTGATGTGGTCTAAGGAGGCAAGGAGAAAATTGGTGCCAAAACCCCTGTTCGTGGTCGTGGGTACTTGTGGCAAATGAATAAGTACAGCTGGATTAGTCCACAAATGCTTTAACTTTCCTTGCATTTCTGATTTAACAGGGATCTGATATAACAGGACATTTTCTCTACTCCCACCATCCCTGTATATGAGGTTTCCACTGTACTTCATTTCCTCATCACTTGCAGGATACATTCATGATTCGTTACTCTCTAGAACTAGATCTAGATGTAGATTTCAAGCTAGAATCTAGAAGATCTAGAGAGATCTAGAATCTAGATCTAAATCTAGATTTGTATTTGAATAGATCGAACTTACTTGCTGCCTTTTCAACCCAATATCCATGTCAGAGACAGACAATAAGCATCTAAGGCTGCATGAGAATTCAAATAATTGAAATAAAAAAATTAACAAAGATTAATCTTCGTTCCCTGAGCTTTTCATAGATACCGCAAACTTCCTTGCTTGAACCGGAAGTAGTTTATCATATGAAGTTAGATCTAAAAACAAAGATTCAGTCCCCCCTCCCTCCCCCACATACAATAAGCTTATTATTAAGAACCTTATTTGCAATGATAATCTTAGAATACAATAAATTGCTAATGACTTAAAATAAAGTTTGCATAAAAGCTGAAATCTTCAATTCAATAATTTAGAAGACAGTAGTTTGTTCCATATATGTATCGCTTGCCTGAGAAATGTTTAAATTTATATATTTCTGAATGCTTATTAAAAACAAGGACTATAGTAAACAACACAGAAAAACACTGAAATCCGAAGTACACTGTAGGCTACAAACAATTTATATTAATGTTCCTGCAACTCCTTGTGTTGCTTGAAGTGGCGGCCTTAGTTTAGTACACCAGACTCTAGACGCCTTCTCAAAGTTTTGACGGTCTGAGTCGGGGATTAGATATCTAGTAGACTTTGGGAATTTAACGTGCCAAAGTATAAGATCACAGCCACAGGCTCAGAACTGATACAAACACAAAATTGAAAAAGTGAATAACAACAGTTTGAGAACCGCCAGATCTAAGAGAACTTGAAAAATTACCCATTCATTATTCATGTTTTCAAATTTTAGCGTCTAGATGAGATCTAGATTCTTGAGCCTGCCTGTAGCAGTTTAGTCTCTGGATAGAAAACAAAAGAAGTAATTATTGTTGTCTCTTTTGATTGTTAAATTGTTTAGGTCACTTCCCCTCTCAAATGAGCTCTTGAGTGCACAATGGTTGATCGGATTGACTTTTCTCAGGTAATAAATTCAGATTTAGAACGAAGAGTTTACATTTTTAGATTCAGATTCTAATATGAGTACAGTGGAACTCGGATTCAACAAGGTCGCCGGGCCTGACCTAAAATTTTGTTGAATCCGAGTGTTCGTTATAGCAAACATGAGGTTTTGTGTAGATAATTACAGGCACTGAGCAAATAGAGAAGTAACAGGTGGTGCCTGAAATGCCTGCATATTATGAGCTGTGCAAAAAAGAAGACAGATTCGTTCAAATGCACGCCTGTGTCATCTCGATTGTTTGCCACAAAGTTGTGTTGCTGTGTAGAGCCTAGCCTAGCATACAGCAACTTTAGATTCATTAGAGACCAGCGCATAATTCACTACATAGATCTACGTCTAGATTAGCTTATAAATCATTGTAATATAATGATCATAAATGCCAGAGGGAAAAAAAGACTACTACTATGATGCATTTGTATCTGCGACATTCCACGCCCGGACCGCTGGTGCCCCCCGACACGCACCCAGACACACATGTGCAGGCCGCCTTTCCGACCCCGACACACGCATGCCAACAACGCATGTGTTAGTATTAAAGAAGGCTACTGATTGGTCGCAAGCAATCGGCTAAGTGAATAATGGTTTACAATGCAGGTGCAATGCATGGTTTTTGGGAATAGATAAAGTTCGTTGTGGGAGAAAAATGAGCAAAGCCACGTCTGCAGGGT